TTCAGATGTACTTTCCCTTTAGATATATAATTATTAAAAACGTTGCGGATGATGTTACCAACCAACGATGATGTTTCGATTACTAGCAAAAATTTTCGGTAGCACTCACAAAAAAAGTTATTCTCCAATTTCTTGTTAAGCTCCATTTTGGACTCTATTTTTTCAAAATTTTATTTTTAAAATTTATTTTCAAACATATATTATCCTATAAAATAATATTATATGTAAACTCAAAATTTTTTGTACATTTTAATCTCTCAAAAAAATAATATTATTTCAATGGTCACTGAACATTGTCAAATGTTACTATTTAATAATTGAATTTTAAAATGTATCTAAAATGGTCATTGAACTTTGTCAAGTGTTATTACTTTATAACAGACTTAAGTGATGAGTACGGTGCATAGTTCAACTACCATTGAGATACATTTTTAAATTTAGTTATTAAGTAGTAACACGACATAGTTCAGTGACCGTTGAGATACATTTTTCAATTTAATTATTAAGTAAGTTTATCACGCCTTTGTGAAAGAAGAAACCAAAGAAATGAAGGGAAAAAAGATGAAATGAAGATATGATTTCCTTTGACTTCTTCAAATTTTTGAAATGCAAAACCATTTTTAATAATTCTAACTTTCAACTAGATAAATCATATTTAATAGATTTATAGTAACTACCTACATAATTTCGAAATTTTCAACAAAACGATAAGTTTCAAATTCATAATTACATAAAGTAAATAACACCGTAACTTAAATTTTATCTAACTCTTTATCAAATAAAATCATTTTGACTTTTGTATAAATAAAATCATTTGAAAGCATGAAACTAATGTCAAATAAAAAACTTTTTAAACATAAGATACTTTTTATTTCAAAAAACCAACTCTTAAAATTATACTCTAAGAGATTCTTTAACTTAACATTCTAAAATAGAAAGTAAGTTTGACTTTTCAAATTTAGAGAGTCAACTCAATCTTTATAATTAAGCCATTATTTGATTTCCATTTTTTCAAAATACATTTTTCTCCCTCTCTTCTTTTCAACCACGTATTTTTCAATAAAATAATATTACAAGCAAATATAAAACAAAGTCCACCTCTGAATTTTGATTGGCTCGTCATCCACGTGACCCGGGGATCTTTAAATAACATTATTTGTAAATACCACAACTGGAGAACAATCTAGGTGCCGGTGATGTAACGAAATAGCGCCTACATATAACATTATATATAAGAATAATTATATGTGTACATCAAAAAATGTACATAAGGGTGTACACGCCCCTCATATGTGGGTTGGACCCACTTGAATAAAATATTTTTTTATTCAAGCAAATCTCACCCCTATGTAAGGGAGGTTATATAATCAATGAATTTTTTGTTTTCATCTCTCTCGCCCAAGTCTTTTTACTTCTTCAAACAAGTGAACAACCAACCCTATTAGCAGACCAAAAATGCTTATTATGTAAAAAAATTTGTATTTGAATTCTTTCCAAGTCGAGGCATGTCTGGATTTACACTATAATCTCGTGTCATATTTTGTTTAGATGGTAAAACATGATAAACCAACAAAAACATAGTTGATAATAAAAATTAAAGTCAGATAAAAACTACAAAATCTTAATGGTACGAAAATCATTGTGAAGCTTAAAACAGACTAATCTCAACATCTTGGACAGAAAACCACCAATAGTTCATATAAGACACTGCTACGAGAGCAAAGAAAAACTAAGGATGCAACTGCCTGGTACTACTGAGCTTTCACTCTTCATCATCTTCATCCCCGTCGCCACCGGAAGCCTTCTTTGCAGCTG